GGCAACGGGATGCGGCTCCAGGTGCCGGGATGCGGATCTGGGTGCCGGGATGCGGATCCAGGTGCAGGGATGCGATTCTGGGCACCGGGATGCGGCTCTGTGTGTGGAGACGCAGCTCCGGGCAGCAGGATGCGGATCCGGGTGCCGGGATGCAGCTCTGGGTGCCGGGATGCGGATCCAGGTGCCGGGATGCGGATCCGGGCGCCGGGATGCGGATCCGGGTGCGGGGATGCGGTTCTGGGCACCGGGATGCAGCTCTGTGCACGTGGACGCGGCTCCAGGTGCGGGGAGGCAGCTCCAGGGACTGGGATGCGGCTCCGGGCACCAGGATCCCGCTCCTGGCCCTGGGATGCGGCTCCGTGTGTGGGGATGCAGCTCCGGGCACCGGGATCCTGCTCCGGGCACCGGGATCCCACTCCACGCGTGGGGACGTGGCCCCTCACACCGGGATCCGGCTCCTTGCACGGGGATGCAGCTCCGCGCGTGGGGATCCCGCTCCGTGCATGGGAACGTGGCTCCTGGCACCGGGATGCGGCTCCTGGCACCAGGATCCGGCTCTATGCACGAGGACGCGGTTTTCTTGCACACGGATCTCTCCCCTTGCACGAGGATGCAATTCTCTCGCACAAGGATCCGTCCCTTTGCACGGGGATCCATCCCCTTGCACACGGATCCCTCCTCTTGCACGGGGACGCAGTTCTCTTGCACAAGGATGCAATTCTCTCGCACGAGGAGCCATCCCCTTGCACAAGGAGCCGTCCCCTTGCACGGGGATCCATCCCCTTGCACGAGGACCCATCCCCTTGCACGGGGATCCCTCCTCTTGCACGGGGACGCAGTTCTCTTGCACAAGGATGCAATTCTCTCGCACGAGGAGCCATCCCCTTGCACAAGGGTCCGGGGGGGGGGGAACTACAGCTCCCAGCGTGCCCCGCGCGGGCCAAAATGGCCGCTCTGAGGCTACTACAGCTCCCGGCGTGCCCCGCGCGGGCCAAAAGGGCCGCTCTGAGGCTACTACAGCTCCCGGCGTGCCCCGCGCGGGCCAAAATGGCCGCTCCGAGGCGACTACAACTCCCGGCGTGCCCCGCGCGGGCCAAAATGGCCGTCTGGTTTCGCCCCGCCAGAAGACTACAGTTCCCGGCATTCCCTGCGGGTTTCAAGATGGCCGCCCGGAAGTGCGATCCCGGAAGACTACCGCTTCCGGCATGCCGCGCTAAACAAAATGGCCCCCACCCTCAGGGGTGAGAGCGCCGCGTAAACACACGTGACAACTCCCGGCGTGCCCCGCGCGGGCCAAAATGGCCGTCTGGTTTCGCCCCGCCAGAAGACTACAGTTCCCGGCATTCCCTGCGGGTTTCAAGATGGCCGCCCGGAAGTGCGATCCCGGAAGACTACCGCTTCCGGCATGCCGCGCTAAACAAAATGGCCCCCACCCTCAGGGGTGAGAGCGCCGCGTAAACACACGTGAAATTAGTAAAATGCAGGAAAATGCAATAAAATGCATTAAAATATAGCAAAGTACAGTAAAATATCGTAAAGTACAGTAAAATATAGTGAAATACAGTAAAATGTAGTAAAATGAAGTTTTATTTCACTCTTTCTGCTTTAGTGTAACATACAGTATGAAGTATTAAATAAATAAAGTAGAAAGGATAAAGTGAATTAAGTAATTAATAAAATGAGCAAAGTGAATAAAATTGATGTTAAGTTAAATAATGTTAGAATGAGAAAAGCTTAGAAAAAATAAAAATAGGGGAAAAATCGAGTTCAAAATTAAGTAAAATGGGATAAAATCCCAACTTGGAGCCTGGGGCTCTTCCTTGGGGCTCGTCCCGTTACCGGGAGGTCCCGGGAATCCGGCCAGGGCAGGTCCCACCGTCCGGAAAGAGCCCCGGGAATGAGGGGAGAAACTCCAGGAATCCCCATAAATGATCCAGGATGGAGTCATTCCTATGAGGAGCTTCCATGAATCTGCAATCTGAATCTGGGGCAATTCCCACCTGGAAGAAGCCCCGGGAATGATGGGAGAAGCTCCAGAAACCCCATAAATAACCCAGGATTGAGTCACTTCCAGCAATTCCCACCATGAATCCACCCGGGGCAATTCCCACCTGGAAGGAGCCCTAGGAATGATGGGAGAAGCTCTGGGAACCCCATAAATGACCCAGGATTGAGTCACTCCCATGAGGAGCTTCCATGAATCCACCCGGGGCAATTCCCACCTGGAAGGAGCCCTAGGAATGATGGGAGAAGCTCTGGGAACCCCATAAATGACCCAGGATTGAGTCACTCCCATGAGGAGCTTCCATGAATCCACCTGGGGCAATTCCCACCTGGAAGAAGCCCTGGGAATGATGGGAGAAGCTCCAGGAAACCTCTAAACAACCCAGGATCGAGTCACTTCCATGAGGAGCTTCCTTGAATCCACCTGGAGCAATTCCCACCCGGAAGAAGCCCCGGAGCCGACGGAACCCTCCGGATCCGGAAGGTCCCCAAATTCCAGGATTTCCGGGACACGACGTCCCCCACCGGGACACGAAGGGACCCGGGAGCCCCATCCACGACCGGGAGAAGAAGGAGCCGACGCCATTCCCTGCATCCCGGGTAATAAACTTTGGTTTATTTGCATTTTACAAGACCCTTTTTTCTTACATTCTCCGTTAATTTTGCCATTAAAGTGCTGAAAGTCTTTTTTTTTTCTTTTTTTTTTTCTTTTTTTTCCTTTTTTTTTCTTTTTTCCTTTAATTTGCGATAACAGAAACGGTAACAGATCCCGGCAGAGCGGCCCCCCCCGCGATGGTTTTTTCCACAAATTAATCCAAACCAGGAAATCCCGGGGGGAAATTCCGCCGGTTTTGAGCCCTTTTTTCCTGCAGAAAGCGGCGATTTTGGCTCCTCCAAGCGGCCGTCCCACGCAAAATCCGGGGGAAAAATCCTCGGATTATTTTATTTTTTTCTGCCCCACCATAGGAATCAAGTTGAGCATCTCTTTTTGGTAAAAAAAAGAACATTTTTACAGTGTTTTCCTTATATCCATTCCTTCCCATATATCCTTTTCCCCCATATCCCTTTCTTTCCATATGTCCATTTCCATATACCCCTTTTTCCCCATATATCTTTTTTTCTATATATCCTTTTTTCCCATATATCCTCTCCCCCTATATATCCTTTTTTCCCATATATCCTCTCCCCCCATATATCCTTTTCCCCCTATATATCCTCTCTTTCCCATATATCCATTTCTATTTCCATATATCTTTTTTTTGTGTGTTTTTTTGGTTATTTTTGTGACGGAAATCAGCCCCGCGCGACGAACAGGCGAAAAAAATCGGGATGGAGGGGAAAAAAAAGAAGATTTCCACGAACCGAACACTGAAAATATTCAGGAAAATGAGAGGAAAAATGAAAAAATTAACCAGAAATGATATCGAAACAGCTCGTAGCAAACGGAAGCAACGGGAGCGCGGGGAGGCCGCGGGCCTCCTCTTCGGCCTCATCCCGCTCCTCGGCCTCATCCCGCCGCCTCCGGAGGCGTCCCGGGCTCCGGAACGTATGTACAGCCCCTATATACAGCGGCGCCCGCGGGCGGGCGCTACTCCTTCTTCTTGGCCACCGTGAGCTCCACGGAGGGCAGGCGGAGGCCGCCCTTGGAGCCGCTGTCGTTGCTGGAGGACGAGGACAAGCGGGACTTCTTGGGGCCTCCCTTGGCCGGGGCCTCCTCGTCGCTGCCCGTCACCTCGTAGGAGCCCTTGGTCTTGGCGCCGATGCCGCCGAACGTCCCGAATTTCATCTTCGGAGCCTTCCCGGCGTCGAGGTCCGGAGCGGAGGCCGAGTGGTCGTCGCTGAAGGAGGACGAGCGGTGCCGGCCCTTGCGGCCCTTGAACAGGGAGAACTTGGCCTTGGCGCCGTCCAGGTCGCCCTCGGCGGAGCCCAGGCTCCCCTTGGAGCTCTTGAGGTCGCCCTTGGAGCCGGAGGCCTCCGGAGAGGCCGGAGCGGCGCCGCCCCCTTTGCCCTTCTGCTTGGAAAAGCCGAATTTGGGCATCTTGAGCTTGGATTTCTTGTGCGGCGCCTCCGCGTCGTCCGGCTCCGGCTCCGCGGCGCCCGGCGGGAAGTCCACGTCCACCCCCACTTCCCGGCCCTTCCCGTCGGCCTCGGAAAAGGCGAATTTCGGCATCCGCAGCTTGGGGAAGGAGACTTTGCCCAGGCCGCATTCCAGGCTCCCTTGGGACGCGCCGGGACTCCATGACGGGGCCGCCACGTCGCCGCCCTTGATCTTGGGCCCTTGGAGGCTCAGGTTGAGGTCGGCCTCCAGGCGGCCGCTCGCTCCGGGCGCCTTCGCGTCCATCCCGGGCGCTTCCAGCCCCGTTTGGAGGCCTCGGATGTCCCCCTCGGCCCGGAGACTTGGTCCTTTCAACCTCACGTCGACGTCGTTCAAGGAGACGCCGGGCGCCTGCGCTTGGATCGTCGGCCCTTTCCATTCCGCGTCGGAGCCTCCCAAGCCGACGGCGACTCCGGGCCCTTTCAGGCCTCCTTTGGGGCCTTCCAGAGCGACGCTCAGGTCGGATCCGTCAACGCCGGGGCCGGACATGCCGAATTGGGGCAGTTTGAGGGACGGGAGCTTGATCGTGCCCCCCAGCACCTCCAAGGTGGCATCTGGGGCCTCCACCGAGGCCTTGGGGGACTTGACGCCGGCGGAAACGTCCAGATCTCCCTTCACTTTTGGTCCTTTCAGGTTGATGTCGAAGTCCGGAGCGGAGACGTCCACCGAGGGCCCTTTGAGAGCGACGCCGAGATCCACGTTGGCGCCTGGGGCTTTCACGTCTACCCCAACGTGCGGGATGGAGCCTCCTTTCACGCTCAGGTCGGGGCCCTCCACGTTGGGCGGTTTCAACGTCGGCATTTTGACCTTCCCTCCGATATCAACGTCCGGCGCTTCCAGGCCGATCGTCGGCCCTTCCACAGAGCCCGAAACATCCAAATCTCCCTTTAGTTTCGGTCTTTTCAGGTTGGCCTCCAAATCGGGCAGCGAGACCTTGGGGCCTTTCAGCTTGGCCTCAACCGAGCCGAGGTTGACGTCAACCGGAGGGATCTTCACGCTTCCTTCCACTGCTGGGGCCGAGATGTCCAAGTTGGCGTTGGGTCCTTCCAAAGCGACACCCGTTTTCCCCATTTTGGGCAAGGAGACCTTGGGGAATTTGAGCTTTCCTTCCGGACCTTCCAGTTCTACTCCGGGAACGCCGACGGCGCCTTTTCCTTTTGGTCCTTTCACGCTTAGGTCAACATCGGGGATGGCCACGTCAATGGTGGGTCCTTTGACTTCCGGCGTTTGAAGCTCCCCTTCGCTTTTTGGGACCGCCGCGGACGCATCCCCCCGGAATCTGGGCGATTTCAGGTCAAACTCGACGTCCGGGAAGGAGATCTTCCCAAACATGGGCTTCTTCCCCTTGGGGGACTTGACGTCGCCCTTCATGGTCACGTCGGGAGCGGCGACGCTCGCGTCCAGCTCCGGAGCCTTCACGTTGGCGTCGAGGTCTCCGCCGGCGACGTTCACGTCGAACGCCCCCTTCTTCCCCTTGACTTTGGGGCCGCTCATGTGGAGTTTGGGCATCTTGAACTTGCTCTTCTTGCCTTTGCCGGAAACGCTGACGTCGGGAGGCTCCACGTTCACGTCGGCCTCTGGGAAATCCACTTCCACCCCCGGTCCCTTGATTTCGGCCTTGGGGCTTTTCACTCCAAACCCAAACTTGGGTTTCTTGAGCTTGGGCATTTTGACATTGGCCTCCAGGCCCTCGACGTTGATGTCGGGACCTTCAACGTCGACTTCGGGGCCTTTCACCCCAAATTCCGGGACGCTGATACCGACTTCAGGCCCCTTCAGGTGACCTTCAGCCTTCGGGGAGGTGACGTCGAAGCCTCCCTTGGCCTTATGGCCTTTCAAATTCAAGTCGATTTCGGGCATGGAGATTTTGGGCACGTTCACGTGCATTTCGGGCATCTTCAGTTTCGGACCTTTCACTTTTCCTTCCGGCCCTTCCACGCTCACGTCCGGGACGCTGATATCGACCTTGGGCCCTGCAAGTTCAACCTCAGCCTTCGGCAGGTTCACGTCCACCTCGGGGCCTTCTCCTTTAAACCCAGGCATGCCAAATTTCGGCAGTTTCATTTTGGGCATTTTCAGTTTGCCCTCCGGCCCGTGCACGTCCACGTCTGGGCCCTCGATGTCTATTTTGGGGCCTTTCACATCGATTTCGGGAGCTTTCAGGTCTGCCTCGAGTTTTGGGCACGGGACGTCCACGTTGCCCTTCAGCTTTGGGCCCTTTAGGTTGAGGTCGATGTCGGGCATGGAGATCTGGGGGGTCTTGACGTGCAGCTCCGGCATCTTGAACTTGGGCCCTTTCATTTTGCCCTCCGGCCCTTCGATGTTGAGGGCAGGTGCCTCAATATCCAATTTGGGGCCTTTGATGTCGATGTCCGGACATTGCAAATCCCCTTCCAACTTGGGTGCCGAGATATCCACGTCCCCCTTCACCTTGGGGCCCTTCAGGTTGAAGTCAACGTCGGGCATGGAGATCTTGGGTGCCTTGATGTGCATTTCGGGCATCTTGAACTTGGGACCCTTCAGCTTCCCTTCTGGGCCTTCTATGTCCAGTTCTGGACCCTCAATGTCCACCTTTGGACCAGAAAGCTCCAGGTCTCCTTTAGGAACATTCACATCCACCTCAGGACCTTCCACCTTCATTCCCGGCATCCCAAACTTGGGCATCTTGAACTTGGGCATCTTGAACTTCCCTTCAGGGCCATGAAGATCCACATCGGGTGCCTCAATGTCCATTTTGGGGCCCTTGATGTCCAAATCAGGAGCTTTCAGCTCTCCCTCCACTTTAGGGAGAGAAACGTCCACGTCCCCCTTGAGCTTGGGGCCCTTCAGGTTGAAGTCAACGTCAGGCATGGAGATCTTGGGTGCCTTGATGTGCATTTCTGGCATCTTGAACTTGGGGCCTTTGAGATTCCCCTCGATGTTCACGTCGGGAGCATCAATGTCCACTTTGGGGCCTTTCACGTCAATTTTGGGGGCTTTCAAGTCTCCTTCCAAGGCAGGACCAGAAATGTCCACGTCTCCTTTTAGCTGAGGCCCCTTCACGTTGAGGTCGACGTCGGGCAGGGAGATCTTGGGGGTCTTCATGTGCAATTCAGGCATCTTCAATTTGGGCCCTTTCAGTTTTCCTTCCACATTCAACTCGGGAGCCTCTACGTCGACGCTGGGGCCGGAAATGTCCAGGTCGCCCTTGGGCAGGTTCACGTTCACGTCCGGGCCCTCCCCTTTGAAGCCGGGCATGGAAAATTTGGGCATCTTGAACTTGGGCAGCTTGAATTTCCCCTCCGGGCCTTCGATATCCACATTGGGGACATCGACCTCGACTTTAGGACCTCCGATGTCGACTTCTGGGCCTTGGAGCTCACAGGCCACCCCTGGCGCCGACACGTCCAGGTCCCCTTTCACTTTGGGGCCCTTCAGGTTGAGATCAAAGTCGGGCATGGAGATTTTGGGGGCTTTAAAGTGCATTTCGGGCATCTTAAACTTGGGACCTTTCAGCTTTCCCTCAGGGCCTTCGATGTCCACGTTGGGGCCCTCGATCTCGACTTTAGGGCCTTCCAGATCAGGGGCAGAAAGATCCACGTCCCCCTTGAGCTTGGGGCCCTTCAAGTTGAAGTCAACGTCGGGCATGGAGATCTTGGGTGCCTTGATGTGCATTTCTGGCATCTTAAACTTGGGACCCTTCAGCTTCCCTTCCAGTTCTGGACCCTCAATATCCACCTTTGGGCCTTTGATATCCACGTCTGCACCTTTCAAGCCCCCCTCTACTTTGGGAAGAGACACGTCCACATCCCCCTTCATTTTGGGGCCTTTCAGGTTGAGGTCAATGTCTGGCATCGAGATCTTGGGTGTCTTGAAGTGCATTTCTGGCATCTTAAATTTGGGCCCCTTTACCTTTCCTTCTGGACCTTCCAGCTCCACATCGGGAACCTCTATGTCCACCTTTGGACCTTTCACATTGACTTCAGGCCCTTTCAGGTTCCCTTCTAAGCCAGGAACGGACACATCCATTTCTCCTTTTGCTTTTGGGCCTTTCAGGTTCAGATCAAAGTCAGGCATGGAGATCTTAGGAGCCTTGAAATGCATCTCAGGCATCTTAAACTTGGGGCCCTTCAACTTCCCCTCTGGCACCTCAATATCAACATCAGGAGCTTCAATATCCACCTTTGGGCCTTTGATATCCACGTCTGGAGCTTTCAAGTTCCCCTCTAGTTTGGGAGCAGAAATATCCACGTCCCCCTTCACCTTGGGGCCTCTGAGGTTCAAGTCAATGTCCGGCATGGAGATCTTTGGGGTCTTGAAGTGCATTTCGGGCATCTTGAACTTGGGGCCCTTCACTTTTCCCTCGGGACCTTCCAGCTCGACGTCGGGAACGTCGATATCCACTTTGGGGCCTTTGATATCCACCTCGGGGCCTTTCAACTCGCCTTCTAGTTTAGGAACGGAAATGTCCACGTCGCCCTTCACTTTGGGGCCTTTGAGGTTGAGATCGAAGTCCGGCATGGAGATTTTGGGGGCTTTAAAGTGCATCTCTGGCATCTTGAATTTGGGGCCCTTCATCTTTCCCTCGGGGCCCTCGATATTGACATCTGGGGCCCCGATATCCAACCCAGGGCCCTTGATATCAACTTGCGGTGCTTTCAGGTCACCTTCCACGGCCGGCATGGACACGTCCACGTCCCCCTTCACTTTCGGGCCTTTTAGGTTCACGTCGAAGTCCGGCATGGAAATTTTCGGAGCCTTAAAATGCATCTCCGGCATCTTCAACTTGGGGCCTTTCCATTTCCCTTCGGGCCCTTCGATGTCCACGTTGGGAACATCGATGTCGACCTCAGGGCCTTTTATTTCCACCTCGGGACCTTTCAAATCCCCTTCCACTTTCGGCACATCCACCTCTGCCTTCACTTTTGGGCCTTTCAGGTTCAAATCAATGTCGGGCATGGAGATCTTGGGGGTCTTGAAGTGCATCTCGGGCATCTTGAACTTGGGACCCTTCAACTTCCCTTCTGGGCCTTCAATGTCCAGCTCTGGACCCTCAATGTCCACCTTTGGACCAGACACGTCCAGGTCTCCCTTTGGGAGGTTCACATCCACCTCGGGACCTTCTACCTTCATTCCCGGCATCCCAAACTTGGGCATCTTGAACTTGGGCATCTTGAACTTCCCTTCTGGGCCATGAATATCCACGTCAGGTGCCTCAATGTCCACCTTGGGGCCACCAATACTGATGTCAGGAGCCTTTAAATCCCCTTCCAGCTTTGGGGCAGAAACATCTACGTCTCCTTTCAGTTTAGGACCTTTAAGGTTCAAGTCGATATCGGGCATGGAAATTTTGGGCGCTTTTATGTGCATCTCCGGCATTTTGAACTTGGGACCTTTCCATTTCCCTTCTGGCCCTTCCACGTCCAGCTCAGGAGCGTCGATGTCCACCTTTGGCCCCTTGATGGTAACTTCTGGCCCACTCAAGTCCCCTTCCATTTTGGGCACCGAAATATCCGCATCCAGCCCTCCTTTCAGCTTGGGGCCTTTCAAATTCAGATCGAAATCCGGCATGGAAATATGGGGAGCCTTGATGTTCAGATCGGGCATCTTCAGCTTGGGACCCTTCACTTTTCCTTCAGGGCCTTCGATGTCCAGGTCGGGACCTTCCACGTCCACTTTTGGTCCTTTTATGTCCAATTCGGGTCCCTTCAGGGACCCTTCCAGGTGGGGCACGTCCACGTTGCCCTTGATTTTGGGGCCTTTGAGGCGCAGGTCAACGTCGGGCATGGAGATCTTGGGGGTCTTGATGTGCATTTCTGGCATCTTGATGTGGGGCCCCTTGAGCTTCCCCTCTGGCCCTTCGATGTCCAAATCGGGACCTTCCACAGCCAGCTTGGGACCCGAAACGTCAAGGTCCCCTTTTGGGACATGAAGATCCAACTCCGGCCCCTCGGCTTTCAATCCCGACATGCCGAATTTGGGCATTTTGAACTTGGGCATTTTGAGCTTCCCCTCCGGTCCATGAATATCCACGTCGGGCGCCTCAATGTTGGCCTTGGGGCCCTTGATATCGATGTCGGGTCCCTTCAGCTCCCCTTCCAATTTGGGAGTGGAAAGATCCAAATCTCCTTTCACTTTATGCCCTTTCAGGTTGAGCTCCACATCCGGCATGGAGACTTTAGGGGTGGAAATGCTCAGAAAAGGCATTTTAAATTTGGAGCCCTTCGTTTTGGCCTGCACGTCCACGTCCGGCGCGTGGACATCAACTTTGGGCCCCGTTATTTCCACCTCAGGCTTTTTAAGTTTCACATCCACATCAGCACTGGGCGCTTTAGGACCAGAGAAGCCAAATTTTGGAAGCTTAAATCTGGATTTTTTAGCTTTTCCCTCTATATCAAGCTTGGGAGATTCCACCTCAATTTCTGGCCCTTTGATGTCCACCTTTGGGCTTTTCAGTTCACCCTCTATTTTGGGAAGGGAAGCATCAACATCAGCCTTTACTTTTGGCCCCTTCAAATTTAAATCAATATCCGGCATGGAGATTTTGGGGACACTGAAATGCATGTCGGGTTTCTTCAATTTAGGGCCCTTTATGTTTAATTCTGCTCCTTCCACATCCAAATCTGGAGCATTAATGTCCAGCTTGGGACCTGAAAGAGCAATGTCAGCTTCAGGTAGATTCACATCCACGTCGGGGCCTTCTCCTTTCAGCCCCGGCATCCCAAACTTGGGCATCTTGAACTTGGGCATTTTGATTTTGCCCTCTGGGCCATGGATGTCCACGTCAGGGGCTTCAATGTCCACCTTGGGGCCCTTGATGTCCACATCAGGAGCTTTCAGCTCTCCTTCCACTTTAGGGAGAGACACGTCCACGTCCCCCTTGAGCTTAGGGCCCTTCAGGTTGAAGTCGACATCAGGCATGGAGATCTTGGGTGCCTTGATGGGCATTTCGGGCATCTTGAACTTGGGACCCTTCAACTTCCCTTCTGGGCCATGGATGTCCACATCAGGAGCTTTCAGCTCTCCTTCCACTTTAGGGAGAGACACGTCCACGTCCCCCTTGAGCTTAGGGCCCTTCAGGTTGAAGTCGACATCAGGCATGGAGATCTTGGGTGCCTTGATGGGCATTTCGGGCATCTTGAACTTGGGACCCTTCAACTTCCCTTCTGGGCCATGGATGTCCACATCAGGAGCTTTCAGCTCTCCTTCCACTTTAGGGAGAGACACGTCCACGTCCCCCTTGAGCTTAGGGCCCTTCAGGTTGAAGTCGACATCAGGCATGGAGATCTTGGGTGCCTTGATGGGCATTTCGGGCATCTTGAACTTGGGACCCTTCAACTTCCCTTCTGGGCCATGGATGTCCACATCAGGAGCTTTCAGCTCTCCTTCCACTTTAGGGAGAGACACGTCCACGTCCCCCTTGAGCTTAGGGCCCTTCAGGTTGAAGTCGACATCAGGCATGGAGATCTTGGGTGCCTTGATGGGCATTTCGGGCATCTTGAACTTGGGACCCTTCAACTTCCCTTCTGGGCCATGGATGTCCACATCAGGAGCTTTCAGCTCTCCTTCCACTTTAGGGAGAGACACGTCCACGTCCCCCTTGAGCTTAGGGCCCTTCAGGTTGAAGTCGACATCAGGCATGGAGATCTTGGGTGCCTTGATGGGCATTTCGGGCATCTTGAACTTGGGACCCTTCAACTTCCCTTCTGGGCCATGGATGTCCACATCAGGAGCTTTCAGCTCTCCTTCCACTTTAGGGAGAGACACGTCCACGTCCCCCTTGAGCTTAGGGCCCTTCAGGTTGAAGTCGACATCAGGCATGGAGATCTTGGGTGCCTTGATGGGCATTTCGGGCATCTTGAACTTGGGACCCTTCAACTTCCCTTCTGGGCCATGGATGTCCACATCAGGAGCTTTCAGCTCTCCTTCCACTTTAGGGAGAGACACGTCCACGTCCCCCTTGAGCTTAGGGCCCTTCAGGTTGAAGTCGACATCAGGCATGGAGATCTTGGGTGCCTTGATGGGCATTTCGGGCATCTTGAACTTGGGACCCTTCAACTTCCCTTCTGGGCCATGGATGTCCACATCAGGAGCTTTCAGCTCTCCTTCCACTTTAGGGAGAGACACGTCCACGTCCCCCTTGAGCTTAGGGCCCTTCAGGTTGAAGTCGACATCAGGCATGGAGATCTTGGGTGCCTTGATGGGCATTTCGGGCATCTTGAACTTGGGACCCTTCAACTTCCCTTCTGGGCCATGGATGTCCACATCAGGAGCTTTCAGCTCTCCTTCCACTTTAGGGAGAGACACGTCCACGTCCCCCTTGAGCTTAGGGCCCTTCAGGTTGAAGTCGACATCAGGCATGGAGATCTTGGGTGCCTTGATGGGCATTTCGGGCATCTTGAACTTGGGACCCTTCAACTTCCCTTCTGGGCCATGGATGTCCACATCAGGAGCTTTCAGCTCTCCTTCCACTTTAGGGAGAGACACGTCCACGTCCCCCTTGAGCTTAGGGCCCTTCAGGTTGAAGTCGACATCAGGCATGGAGATCTTGGGTGCCTTGATGGGCATTTCGGGCATCTTGAACTTGGGACCCTTCAACTTCCCTTCTGGGCCATGGATGTCCACATCAGGAGCTTTCAGCTCTCCTTCCACTTTAGGGAGAGACACGTCCACGTCCCCCTTGAGCTTAGGGCCCTTCAGGTTGAAGTCGACATCAGGCATGGAGATCTTGGGTGCCTTGATGGGCATTTCGGGCATCTTGAACTTGGGACCCTTCAGCTTCCCTTCAGGGCCTTCCAGCTCAGTTTCAGGCAGGTCAACGTTCAATTTGGGGCCTTTGATGTCCATTTCTGGGCCCTTCAAGTCCCCTTCTACTTTGGGAAGAGACACGTCCACGTCCCCCTTCATTTTGGGGCCTTTCAGGTTGAGGTCGATGTCTGGCATCGAGATCTTGGGTGTCTTGAAGTGCATTTCTGGCATCTTAAATTTGGGCCCCTTTACCTTTCCTTCTGGACCTTCCAGCTCCACATCGGGAACCTCTATGTCCACCTTTGGACCTTTCACATTGACTTCAGGCCCTTTCAGGTTCCCTTCTAAGCCAGGAACGGACACATCCATTTCTCCTTTTGCTTTTGGGCCTTTCAGGTTCAGATCAAAGTCAGGCATGGAGATCTTAGGAGCCTTGAAATGCATCTCAGGCATCTTAAACTTGGGGCCCTTCAGGCATCCCAAACTTGGGCATCTTGAACTTGGGCATCTTGAACTTCCCTTCTGGGCCATGGATGTCCACATCGGGTGCCTCAATGTCCACTTTGGGGCCCTTGATGTCCAAATCAGGAGCTTTCAGTTCTCCTTCCACTTTAGGGAGAGACACGTCCACGTCCCCCTTGAGCTTGGGGCCCTTCAGATTGAAATCAACGTCGGGCATGGAGATCTTGGGTGCCTTGATGTGCATTTCTGGCATCTTGAACTTGGGACCCTTCAGCTTCCCTTCTGGGCCTTCAATATCCAGTTCTGGACCCTCAATATCCACCTTTGGGCCTTTGATATCCACGTCTGCACCTTTCAAGCCCCCCTCTACTTTGGGAAGAGACACGTCCACATCCCCCTTCATTTTGGGGCCTTTCAGGTTGAGGTCAATGTCTGGCATCGAGATCTTGGGTGTCTTGAAGTGCATTTCTGGCATCTTGAATTTGGGGCCCTTTATCTTTCCCTCAGGACACTCAAGGTCCACGTCAGGAACCTCCACTTTGGCTTTAAAGTGCATCTCTGGCATCTTGAATTTGGGGCCCTTTATCTTTCCCTCAGGACACTCAAGGTCCACGTCAGGAACCTCCACTTTGGCTTTAAAGTGCATCTCTGGCATCTTGAATTTGGGGCCCTTTATCTTTCCCTCAGGACACTCAAGGTCCACGTCAGGAACCTCCACTTTGGCTTTAAAGTGCATCTCTGGCATCTTGAATTTGGGGCCCTTTATCTTTCCCTCAGGACACTCAAGGTCCACGTCAGGAACCTCCACTTTGGCTTTAAAGTGCATCTCTGGCATCTTGAATTTGGGGCCCTTTATCTTTCCCTCAGGACACTCAAGGTCCACGTCAGGAACCTCCACTTTGGCTTTAAAGTGCATCTCTGGCATCTTGAATTTGGGGCCCTTTATCTTTCCCTCAGGACACTCAAGGTCCACGTCAGGAACCTCCACTTTGGCTTTAAAGTGCATCTCTGGCATCTTGAATTTGGGGCCCTTTATCTTTCCCTCAGGACACTCAAGGTCCACGTCAGGAACCTCCACTTTGGCTTTAAAGTGCATCTCTGGCATCTTGAATTTGGGGCCCTTTATCTTTCCCTCAGGACACTCAAGGTCCACGTCAGGAACCTCCACTTTGGGCCCTTTAACGTGCAAATCAACATCCTTCAAATCACCCTCTATTTTTGGTGCAGACACATCCATTTCTCCCTTTACTTTGGGCCCTTTTAGGTTGAGGTCGATGTCCGGCATGGAGATTTTCGGGACGTTGAAATGCATTTCTGGCATCTTAAACTTGGGCCCCTTCAACTTTCCTTCAGGGCCTTCAATGTCCAGTTCTGGACCCTCAATGTCCACCTTTGGACCAGACACGTCCAGGTCTCCCTTTGGGAGGTTCACATCCACCTCGGG